GCATCATTTTTTGACATGAATGTCCCACAACAAGAAAAATCCACCATTTGGTGGTAAGGCTCAGCTAAGCCATAGTAAAATGTCTGAACAATTGCCAATTAGACACTTGGTGGTGGGGACACTGTTGGAGAAGGTCATGAAGTCTTTCCCATGTTTCATGAAATTGCTCGCCATCAATTTGAGCAAAATTGGTGATGGCTCACCTGAGTTGGTTGGTCTTACCAATGGGAAAGTACTTCTCTAAAAACTTCTGCTATAATCATTCCTTTGTTGTGATATAATTAGCAGGTAAGGAGTTCAGCCAGTGTTTGGCTTTGTCCTTAAGTAAAAATAGGAACAGTGGCAACATTAAGGCCACATTGGTGAAATTATGGATCTTCACTGTAGAGCAAATTTCCAAAAGTTCATGCAGATGTTTGTCAAGATCATCATGAGCTAGTCCATGGAATGATGGGAACATTTGGATAGTGTTGGACTTAATCTCATAATGAGTAGCAGTGGTGTCTAGTAGCTGAATGCATGATGGTAATGTATATGCAGTGGGTGTGAAGTAATCCTTAAGGGTCTGGTTGGGCCCATTCGGGAAAGCATTCTAGTTCACCATCTCTAATGGTTCTGAGTATAGATATTGATATTTAAGCCTAGGAACATGGGAAGAGGCTCTAAGGTTCCTAAGAGTCCTTTCTAGTTCAAGGTCCAAACTCTACAATTCAGGGCGGCAAGAACGGCGCCTGTGCATACACCACTCACACGCGCACACACACACACTAAGTTCCGACTCTTGTGCACTAAGTTATGAAATCAAAATACCAAAGGTGAAAATACTCATAGCAGTTTAACGAAAACGCTTTACTCATCTTGCGAGTGCTTGACGTGTAGACCGTTGTCTCCAATCTCCACATGAGTTCTCTATTTTTACCACTTTGGTGCTTTGCTTGCGAGTATTTGCTTCTTCTTTTGTTTTTTTTAGGTACTTTAGTATTGCAATTTGTTTTTAAAGCTCGGTTGCGCTCCGCTTGCACTTCGGTGATAGCTCCACTTGCAAAAACTTTGCACACTTAGCAACACGAACACATAAAATCCTAAACTAAAAATTAAAATAAGAATATAATTTTAAATTAATTAATTTCGCCAAAAGTCCCCGGCAACGACGCTAAAATTTGATGAGTTGTTTCACACACCAAAAATAAACACTAAACTACACCAAATTTCTTAGAATAATGGTAAGTCCTGGTATCGATCCACATAGACAAATGTGAAATTAAACTAATTTAATTGTTAAATTCCTAAATTAATTTTGATCAAAGAGATGATTGATCATAAACTAATGATAATTAAAATAACTATGAGATTAAACTAACAATTAAAAGTAAAGATGAAGTTACTGATTTTGGGAAAAACCTAGGGTAATAAATTCACCATTAGTTACATAAATAAGGTCTCAATTTGAAAATCAATTATGTTACAGTTCGAACCAAATAATACTTTGCAACTACAAGTCCAAAGCATTGATCAAGAGAATTATCACATTCAATTTATAGGCATGAACCATCTCAAGTAGCATAAGTCGTTCGCTCTAAACTAGGGTAGCAAAACGACTCGTTTCTCATAGTATGGCTCGTCTCATTCCTTGAATATAAAAGAATAGAAAACCATTTCATGAAAAGTATTCAACAATCACAGAAAGACGAATACTTGAAGAAATAATGAAAAATATATTTAAGAACTTCTTGAATACCATACAACTTGTTCAAACCATTACATAATCAAAAATAAAAAAGAAAACCCTATTTACTTGGCTAGGGTTTCATTAAAACCCTAGAAATAGAAGCCTAGCCACTCATGGAGGAGTGGGAAGAGGTAAAAAAAGAAGAAACCCCCATGAAAGATGTTCTTGAAGCTGGAGAAACCTCCTTTTCAAACCCTTGCCCTTCCTTTCTCTTGAAATATTTTGGAACCCTAATCTAGCCTTTTCTCTGTCTTTTTATACCTCTAGCTCTTTCAAACAATTCCAAACCACGGGCATGTTTTCTGAGGTATGGCCGCACGTGCGGGACATGCCACCACACGTACGGGAATGGGCTTCTACACGTACAGGAAATGCCACTACATGTGCAGGAATGGGCCTCCGCACGTGCTATTTTCTTGGGCCCCTATTTGGCTGTAATGGATGGGCCAATGGTCCTCCACACGTGCGGAAAGCATTTTTTTGTTAAAAATATTGATTTTTGCTCATTTCATGCTCATACTGCATCCAACCTAATTAACATTAAACAGACATAAAATATACAATTTGACTAGCAAGTAAGGTTAAGAGATCCTAGTTACCGGTCTCAGTGTTGTACAATTCGGCCTTAATCACTTAGCAATAGGCGCAAAAGTAGTCCTAAAATCCTTGCCAGGAACATGTGTCAAGTCCTCGGCAAACAGCCGCACTTTGTAGCAGTCCACAAAGCCATCTGCAAGATACTTAATGCTGAACGCCCATTTGCAAACAATAGTGCTCTCCCCAGATGGTAAAGAGACAAATTCCCAGGTCTGATTATGTTGTAAAGTAGCCATTTCAGCCTATATAGATTCCACCCATTTGGGATTCCAAAGGGCCTTTGACATAGGACGAGGAATAGAATCTAACTTGAGTTTTCCAAGGAAAGAGAGGAATTTGAAACATGTCCATACGAAAGATACTGGGCAATGAGATGATTAGTACACCTAGTGTGGTCATCAATAAAAGTCACATAATATCTATAGTCATAGAAGGCATGGACTGGAGAAGATCGCCAAACATCTGAATGAATGAGATCAAAAGCACTAGAGGCACGAGTCATGTGAGGTATATAACTAGTACGGGGTATGCTTAACCAACTCAAAAACCATACAATGAAACTTGGAATCCTTACATGCTTTCTTTAATAACGGAAAAAGTACACATAAATATTGAAAATTGACATGACCCATATGGGCATGCCATAAGTTAATGTTTGAACTGGAAAAAAAAAAAAAAAAAACCGCACGACACAAAAGCAGGCAAACTAGAAGCCTGAAAACTAGCTAAAGCAGATGAAGGTCGGTCCGATGGATCCCCAAGTAGTAAAGCCTATCGGGCTCATAACCACTGTCAAAAATCCTCTTCAAATCAGGTCTTATAAAAGACAAAAAGTGGGTAAGAAGATGACAATACAATTAAAAGTTTTAGCAAAACAACCAACACATAAGAGGTTATATGCGAAATTGGGAACATGCAGAATAGAAGATAGAGAAATATTAGGAGATAAAAAACAAAACCCTTATGACGCATAGAAGATGAAGGACCATCAACAAGATAAGACAAATTGGGCGATAGTAGGGACTGGAGATGAAAGAAAAGAGAACTCACTCGTCATATGATCATTAACTTCAAAATTTTGAACCTATGAGGGAATATTAAACAGAACATGAAAAGCAATAGTAGTACTTGTAGCGAGTGTGGTAGCAGAGGAAGATAATGGGCCCTGAGAACGAGTAGTGAAAGACCCAAGTTGCTTCTGGAGTTGACCAATCTGGGACTGAAGCTGCTATAAACGAGGAGATAAAACTGGAGGGACTGGAGGAGAGATAAGCTAAACCAATCACCAACGTCACTCATCACTATCAATGGTGACAAAAGCCTCATAGAGGGATGGCATAAGTGATGCAGAGTATAAGAAGCTCAAGAAAGGCTAAATTCAGAGAAGTGATGTGTCACAACCCTAAAGATGGCAATTTAAACCCGAACCAACGGGGACCCGACTCTCTGACCCTGATTTGAGCGGTTTTTTCCCGAAAAATACCACCGACGGGATGGGGATGGTATTCAAAAATCAATCCCCGATCAGTTTCGGACCGGGGACGGGGATAAGTGTCCAACCCCCGTACTCAGCCCAACCTCGTCCCCGTCCCCGCCCCCGCCCCCCCCTCCGCCTCCGCCCCGATTTGTCCCCGGACCGGGGACGGGGATAAGTATCCAAGCCCTGTACCCGACCCGGCCCCGTCCCCGCCCCCGCCCCCCGGTTTATCCCCGAAATAAAATTACCATTTTACCTTCTATATATATATAAACCAAACCTCTTACACTCTCCCACACACACATATGCCTCTCAATCTTCTCTCTCACGGTCTCTCTCTCTCTCTGAAACCCTCCCACCACCGCCCACTCCCTCCCTCCCTCCGATGTCTTCTCCCACCTCTCATCACCGCCGATTTGCAACAATCATCACCGCCGACTCCTTCCCTCCACTGTCCTCTCCCTTCTCCCATCACCGCCAATATGCAACGATCATCACCACCAACTCCCTCCCTTTGTTGTCCTCTCCTCTTCTTCCGTTGTCCTCCTCTCCCTCCTCCTATCACCGCCAATCTACAACGATCGAGCTAGAATTGAGATCTGCAATGATCTAAACTGAGATCTGCAACAATCGAGCTAGAACCCAGATCTGAAGGTAGATCAACGCATCTTGTGTGTTTGTGATGAATTTGGATTCGATAAAGTGATTGTCTTCTCTTTTTTTTTCTTTTTTTTTAAGTTGATGATTGTTGTTGATGATGATGAAACATACTAATTAATTTTATTTTATTTTTTTTGTTCTTGTATTGTGTTGAACAAAATTTTTAAAAAAAAAAAGGCCGGGAATATTTCGGGGTCAGGGAAACCCGATCCCCATTAGGCGATGGAGGCGCGGAGGGGAGGGGGGGTAATAGATTCCCCACCGGGGATCGGGGGCGTGGGCGGGAACGGGGATTTTTTCACCTTCGGGGATCAGGAATGGGGAGTGCAATCCCCGACCCCGCCCCGTTGCCATTCCTACACAACCCCATCTCGTCCGAAATAGGATAACAACTGTGATCGGCTAGTAGTGTCGAACTACCAAAGGCCTAACAATACAAGACAAGACAAGACAAGACTGAACTATAACTTTGAGGCTTATGCAGAATAACCTGTTTATTATATTAATCAAAATCCATCCAGAGCATGTGCATAAGTATGATGAAAACAAAACAAGCATGCCTTTTATTTATTTGTCTTGATAGTTACAAGTGCAAACAACAAAAAGAAAAGAGTACATCACCAAAAGACGTCCTACAAAAACCAAAACATATAAACAAAACTCATGTCTCAAGGAAACAACTTCCAAAAGAACAAACTAAAAGAAAAGGGTTCTAGTGCGACTCTTCCTCATGTCCTTGTTCTTCATCTTCACCTATATACATATAAGAGAGAGGGGTCAGTCATTATCCAGTGAATAGTAATAAAGTAAGACAGTAAATGAATGAACATCAATGAGCTTTACAAATATAACATTGAAATATAACTTAAACATATCTTTAATTTGAACAAGGCAAAACATACTTGACTTGAAACCATTACATAGTGATAGACATTTCAATGATTAAAAGATGCTTAACTAGCCTAGGTACTGGCTAAACAGAACAAGATAAGCTTAGCCATAACACATGATTGGATATACTCCCAATTGTGGGACATGATCCAAGAATGCCATCGAAGTACATGATAAAAGAGTATGGAATATTCATTCATAGCAAAACACATCATAACTTGTAAACATAATCAATGTTTGCATTGAAAACATAATCGTTTGAACATAGCGTTACTAAATCACAACTCACAAATAGCTCGATTAAACAAGGGGTTTCTTCCTACTTCCAAAGCTATACACAAAACAATAGCAAGATATTGAAACACTTACTTAACTTGTATTCACATAACAAATTGATTGTTTAAACTTAGTAAAATGTTTTTATTAAATCCTCTCAAGTATTCTAGCATTGCTTTAGGTCCAATTCAAGTCTTATCTAAGCGTCAAATGGGTATAAGAAGTGTCCTATGCGAAAGAGGGTTACAAAACAAGAGCATAGGCAAAACAGTGGATTTCTGCACGTGCAGGACCCAATCCGCACATGTGGCCCGCACTTGCCTTTTTTTTTAGAATTGACTCGTGAACAGAGGAGTGTTGGCCGCACGAGCGGGAGTCCCACCGCGCGTGCAGTTCTAGGTAATTAGCTGCTGTACAAAATTCAGCAATCTCTCAAGTTCATTTCTTCCTCTTTTCTTGAGTTGGGTGTATATTTGATGGTAAACAAGAAAGTATGATTGTTTTCCAAATTAAAAACATCAAACTTCATTTGGTTTCAAGAATCAAGGATGAAACTTTCAAGAATTTGAGTAGAACTTGTTTTTCATGCAATCTATCTTTCCTTCCTTCCTATGCATAAATTTAAGCTATAAAACTTGTGAAAGTCAATGGGAAATATAAACATGAAGACCTACATGCATCAAGAACATCAAAAATTGCTTAGGCTAACTTAATACATGTTAAGGCTAATTAAACAAGGCTTAATCTAATCTTTCTTAACTTAATTAACCTTAATCAAAGCTCACTAATCCTTCTTAATTAGTACTCATCCAAATTAGCAAAACAACAAATAGCACCAAATGGATAAGCAAATTAGACCAAAGTCTTTAAGCTCCTCAATTAAGGTATGGCATATCCTATGGTCTATAAATTCTATACCAAAACATTCCCTAACTTGAAGCATGAAGCAAACAATTCTCTAGGCTTAATTTTTCAAACTAACTTCTCCTTCTCATATGATTCCTATCAAGTTCTAGTTCAAGCAAGTAAGCCTGATCACAAGATTAAAATACATGAATGACATTATATGCATTATGCATGAAACGTTGGTTGTCACATGATAATACTTGGACATTGACATGATTTCATAGAAAATCCTATAAAAATCTTTTATAATTATGTTTTAAGCATTATTAGCGTCTTATATTATTATTATTTTTATGTTTTCTAGGATTTTTAAGGTTAGGGATATTTTGGTAATTTTATTTTATTTCTTAGAAATCAAATATATTTAATAGTTTCCTTTTTTAGTTATAATTGGTTTAGAAAGTTTCCTAGTCCAATATAAAGTCATGCTATGAAGCACGGACACGGACACATGGCCTTGTTTGGTTTGTATTTTAGAAAAAAAAATTGGGAAAAAATCTCTGCAAACAAATTTTTAAGAGTAATCAAACCAAACAAATTTTTCCAAAAAAAAATCTAAAAATTTTGTTTGATTACCTACTTTCCAAAGTCACTCTCTCTCTCTCATACACATCAAATCACTCACTTTTTTTAAAACCCTCTCTCCAAAACAATTTTCCAAAATCATTTTTGAAAAAAGACAAACCAAACAAGTTTTCGTACTTTTTATCTCAAAAACTACTCTACAAACACAAACCAAACACACTCGTAAATTTTCAAAAAAATAGAGGACACGACAAGGTGGGAATACGTTCAATATATATAATTAAATTTATTTATTATATATCATAAAATTATTTTTAAAAAAATCATTGAAATGTAATAAAAAAAATACAAAATAACACTATTACAATTATAAAAATAAAAATAAAAAACATTTCATTGATTTAACAAAACTAAACAGCCAAAAAAAAAAAGAATATAATCAAATAAAAGTTATAGAGACAGAAAAGAAAAAATAAAATAAAATCGAAAAAATAGAAGAGAGAGAGAGAGAGATGTTACCATCAGCCTATAAAAGAAAAGACGAAAATAAGGGTTCAAGAGCAGATCAGAAGAGAGAGTGATTGAGAGAGAGCAAGACAGCGACTGAGAGAGACAAGAGAGAAGATCAGAGAAGAAGATCGAAAAAGAAGAAGAAGATCGAAGAATGAAGAAGAAGATCGAAGTTGTACCTTGGATAACAACAAGAGCAGCGAGCAGCAACCACCGACGAGCGACGACTAACCAGCGAAGAGCGACCAGGTGTGCCTGACGAGCCTTTCTCTCACTCTCTTATGTTCTCTCTGTTCAATTCAAGGTTACAAATTGATCTGTTTTTGTTTTTTTACAAATTGACCCCCACAAGTTTCATAAATTATGAATTTCACCCTACGGTGTCCCGAACATGTCCATTACACATGTCCGTCTACAAAAAATAAAAAATTAAAAAATCGGACACCTTCTACTGCGTGTCAAACACGTGTCCACCGCATGTCCGACGTGTGTCCGTGTCCGACATTGATATGCAGCCCTCGAAGAGGTGTCTGTGCTTCATGGAAGCCATGTAATACTCATAATCAATCAAGTTGATATTTTCTATATATATATATATATATAAATCGAGAGCTTTTAAGCTTCTTTTGGGTTTGTGTGATGTAACCCTAACCCTACATGTGATGCCTATGGAATTTAGGTGTGATGTCTAAACCTATCTTCTTCTCTTCTCTCTTCTTCTCTCTTCTTCAGCCCCAAAAGCCTAGATTTGTTGTTGTCCCTAATTGTCTTGCATCAATTTGGTATCAAAGCAAAAGATCCTATTATTAGAGCAAGCTATAAAACATGTCAATTCGTTGTGGAAGATCTTTTGTCGCAGGGATATTTTCTAAGAACCAAAGGGATCGATTTTCTTTTAAAAATTGTGCACCTTGATAATTTTAGTCAATGGCTTAATGCTTTGGACAGCTGACCAACTCAAGACAAGGTGATAAATATTGAAATTTTCAAGAATAAAGAGAGTTTGGTTGATGAATCAAAATCACCCCACACAGCATCAAGGTTGAAGAAGGTTTTTACTCCTAACTCTGTGTTCCAGGGTAGAATTAGAGGACCAAGATCAAAATCTGCCCAAGGTGGAAGATGACCAGATTTTCAAGGTTGGTGAGGCTCTTATTGATGATTCAAAAGCACCCCAAGAAGATCTAATTGTTAGTCAAGAAGAGGATGAGGTCCAAATAGAAGACTCGGATGTCACACAAGCTGTAAGGAGTGAAGAATTAATGCATCCTGCTGCAATTCCAAAAGGAAGAGAACCGACCCAAACCCACTCACATAGGAGTATGGTCAGCAATTACAGATCCTCATTGAAGTGGTTTGAAAAGATGACAGAGATCCAACATCAGTTTTAACATGATTTACCCAGCATTTTTTTCCTAAAGAAAATAAATCCTATTAGGATAACAATATAAGTTTGCCCCAAACTCACTTAATTTGCATAATTTAGCAAGTCTGACCAGACCTTTATAAAATTAGAGCTAATGTTAAAATAATATGTTTGTTCAGGAATTTCAAATTGCACGAGACTTAGAAATATGCCTGATACTTGAGATTGATAAAATGGTCAAGGTTACTTAAGTATCTTAAAAATTCAAATATCTGATTTGAATTAAAACCTGTGATACATGGACTCTTTTGTTCCTCCTAGTGTACTGTCTGCACATGATAGGACAAGGATAAGAGTATAGGCCCTATGGGGTATGTGTCCAACCCCATAATCGAATAAGACACTTGAATTCTCTAATTTTTAATGAAGTTTGAAGAAAAAGAAGCTCACATTTGATAGTAAAAATTTCTAGCTTTTCATATGGATGCCATAGGCAGATAGAAATCTGTTTTCCCCTAAATTCTATTAATTTTAAGTACATTCATAAATAATAGCACCACCTATGTTAAAATATTGTACAATATATGTATATATACATTTTTGATAAATCAGAATATTGTACAATATATAATTTATTAAATGTTCAAGATGTGTTCATGTATCCACCCCAGCTTTAGACACATATTCCTATATTCTAAGATTAAAGGTTAGGGAAGTCCGAAGCTTGGACCCACACCCAATGCTCATACCCAAGTCCATGTAACATAAGGTAAAACAACTCCTTGGTATTATTGTCTTTTCATTAACTATTCTTGATCCAATGTGTACAAAATGTAAACTAAGGCAGAATATACATCATTCTGTTCTTAGATCTACGATCACTCCTGATTATTATGTCACAAAATTGCATATGATGGACAAAATGAATGGATTTAACTTACATGAATATGCACAGGAAGCCTAGTGAAGCAAGAATTCTTCACATTCTGGTTCTTCTGGAAAAACCTTAACTTTCCCGCCTCAGCAAACGTTACTGTCAGACTTGCTCTGGATTGATAATAATAAGTAGCCATTGAATGGACAAATACACCCATGAAATATGTAACTTTCAGCTCATCAAGAATAAAATTAGATCAGTTTGACATATCAAACCTTCTTCTCCTTCACAATATCATCTAGTAAGAACCAAACCCATACCAAGTTGAATCTCCACCAATTACACAGTCCAACTTACAAATTCTTTACGAGAGTGCATTCTTGGTCACATGCCATCCTTATATAATCAGCCAATCTGTAGCCATTGATGAGCTTCATAAGTTATATGATGAACAAGATGCATGGTTCTCTCTAGCAATGTCCGAATGCTTTTCTAGAATTGAAAGACAGCGACACTTTGAAGCAAAAATGGACAGCAAATAACTAGAAATGCAAAGATTTCATAAAGACCATTCAAGCGAAATTCTTATCTCAGTCCTGCATCCACACCTTCCTCACTATCATTATCCCCATCCGTATAGTCAGAGACATCATCATAATGCAGCAAATCTGACCGCAAATCATCTTTTCCCTCCCCGACGTGTCTAACACTGTCTTCTGTCTCAAAATCATCAAAAGCATTCTCAACACAGTCTCTTTTGACGCTCCCCATTTCATCATCTTCTCCATTCCTCCTATAACTGACCAGTTCTCTATCCACCTTAACTTTCCTAGGACTCAACAAAATTAACTCAGCAAGCTTTCTCCTTGCCAAATACAAATCATTTGGTTCTATCAACTCCCCTTTTTTATAAACCTCCCTGAGAAAAACTGTATGAAGCTTCCCTTGATTACCCCTTGTTGATATATAAAATATTCCCTGATGTTGAAGAAGGAACTCCTTGAGCTTCTTGGGCAAATTCATCACTAACCGGAAATGTGCAATCCTCTCCAAAGTAATCTTCTTTTCCACTGTCAACGACAACAATTCATGAATCATCGCAACAGCCCTCTTCTCCATCCGCTTCTGCGCCTCAAGCGACCTCAAATCATAACCCGAAATATCATCATAAGGGGACCAATATGGAATCCGTTGCCATTTCCACACAGCAATTTTATAATACTTGCCAATCTTAAACCCAGGTGGGAAATTCACAATAAATGAAAACCGAATATTTTCAGCATCAATTCCCTTCTCTCTATACTCTTTCTCCCTGAGTCTCTCTATAGCACACACGGCCAATTTTGGATCTCTCTCTACAGTCTCAATGTACTTATTCCTAGTTTCCTTGGCATCAAACAATCTAAAAAATTGTGGGTACTTGAGAATTACCGAGAATTCGAAGTCATCCGGAAGCCCAAGGTCTTTACGGGCAATTCGAACGTGTTCGAGCTGAAGACGGCCAGTGTTGGACAACATGACGAGTTTCCGGAGACGGGTCACGGCGTCGGGGACTTGGGCAAGAAGGGCTTCCTTCTCCTGATCAATTTGGAGCAGAGCTTTTCGGGTTAGTCTGCAATAGAGAATTCTCTGAACTGGGTGTTCGAAAATCTCGAAGATGTGGGGGAATTTGAGGATGAATCGGCCGGCTTCGAATTGCTTCAAGCCGATTCGGCGAGCGAGGGTGTCGAGGCGAGAAATAGAGACCATGGAACTGGGTAACGAGAGAATGAGGTCTTGGAACTTGAGGACTTTGCGCATTTTCTTCTCGACCTCCATGTAGTTGTCGTAGCCATGGTCTCGCACCCTTTGGAGCTTCTTGGGTATGGAGGTCGACTGTGAAAAGGGTCTTCTTGTTGATGCGAACGCGTTAATGGGTGATGTGTTTTGGAGTATTGTCTTCTGAATCAGTGAACTGGTTTTGAAGGTGGTGGTTATGCTATTATTCAGTTTCCACATTTTGGTTGAATATGCAGAGAACAAGTGCATTTTTTTGTTTAATGGGTCGTTAGGGTTTGGGGCTTTTGGAGAGAGTTGGATGTTCTAATCTACGGGGAAGGTTCAAAGAGGAATGGTGTAAATTCTTGAAATATTGTGGAGGACGTTGACATTTTATAAAAGTATTGGGCTGGTAGAGCAATTTAGAAAGCTTTGTGCAGAATAGTAAGCTTGGACCTACTCGGGGCCAGTCCAGGCCCAACTCTAATCTGTGATCGGCGGAACCAGCGGGTTGCTGCTGGATTGCAGTACGTCGGATTTATTAATATTATGTTTGAATATTTCATAACAATAATAATAATAATAATATTAAGAGATATTTTTTTTAAGATACTGATATTAAGATTTTATAATATAAAAAATATTCAATATTTTTATAATGTCTAAGATCCCTCAACATTGATCCAGAAAAATTTTAATCTAGAGAAATTCTCTCCAAAGAAATTCTGGGCTTCTCGAAAAATTTCTCTAGTTTCAAACCAGAGAAAATTTAAATTTTTTTGAGTTCAAACCAAAGAAAATTGAACAATACAGCGAAAATTAAACAAGGCAGGGAAATTAACCAAAGAAAATTGAATAACATAGAGAAAATTAAACAGGGCAAAGAAAATTACCTAGAGAAAATTGATTAAAACAAAATACTAATAAGTTGTTGTAATTTCCTCACCAAAATACTAAATTTTGTAAATTTACAGCCAACTTCCTAACAAATTTTTATTTTTGATCAACCTTCAAAATCCAAACCCAAATCTCTAATTCACCAACTTAGCAAAATTACTGTGAAAACCCATATTTAAATTATTCTTAAAAGAAAATTAATTAAATAATTAATTAATTAATTAATTAATTTTATTTAGAATCTACCTAAAATATATAATAGTGTAAAAAAAAAAAAATCAGATTCGGTGGCAAAATATGCCACATGCTAACTTACATGTAAGCTTGGTAAATTTCACCACATCATGACTCTTGGGTGGAGTAGAATTGTGGCAGAGAATAACAAAGAGAGAAAGAGAGAGCTCTGCCTATATATACCCAAAAAGGACTAAGCTTATTCAGTGACTTAACTAAGTTAGAACCTTTTAATTGTAGGATGCCAGGGTCATCAGACATTAACTCTAACGAGGAAAATTCGGTGGAAAACTATGACATAGAATCTGACCCAAGTGAAGAAGTGGAGATGCCTATAGAAGACTATGAACCTGAGCCTGAGCTTGACCCCGAACCTGATTCTGAACTTGAGCCTGAACCTGAGTCTGAAGAAGTTGTACCAATATACAACCCCCTGGAGGTTATTGTGATTGAGTTAGACACCGAAGATGAGTCTATAGAAGGCAATACCAAGGAGAGCACTGGAGATATGGAAGCCATATTTGAGGGTTAGGATGTGCGAAATGGGTTGCAGATTGGCTCTTTTATATATGTCAGACTTTATCCCCTAGGAGGTTGTGCTTGGAAAGCTGAGAGTTGGGTGGGTGCCTATATCGGACCTATCCAGATTCTAAGACAAGAGACTCCCTGGGTATATCAATTAGGCCTCTTCCTGAATGGTTTCACTGATGGGGTGGGCAACCTTTTTGACTTTTGGAGCCTTCAATATATCATGCCCGACCCAAGCAGAATTGTGAGGAGATATGGGTCAATGGACTTCAGAGACTGGAGGACCTATCGGGAGGAGCCGGTGCAGCTGCTAGGGCATCGTGTGTGCGAAACTGCTATCTTCGTGAGGGTGCTGTGGCGATTCATGGGGCTTTTCCAAGACACATGGGAGCCGGAAGCCCTTGTGTGAAGAGACTTTCCTTGGCTATTTTAAGGGGTCTTAAGGGAATTATAAACTAGGCTAACCGATTGTTTTGTATACTCACATGTAAAATTGCCTAGTTTAGAATTGTGAGTGTAGGAGTTAACTCGGATTGTAGGGGCTATCTTTTGCCCTTAGTATGTTATTTAACCTTTTCTATGTTTTACTTGTATTTTGCTAATTGTAGCTTATCTAATCTAATTAATGAAGTTTTTTTTTTACTATCCTTGCACATAATAATAATAATAATAATAATAATAATAATAATAATAATAATAAATAAATAAATAAATGAACAAATCACGAATTACTAAAGGAAAAAAAATTCCCATCATGCAGAATGGCTGGACGAACAAGAAATAATAACAACGGTAATGGTGATGGAGTGTCTGATGGCGATGTCGCTCGAATTATACGCGCGATTACTGATAGGGTAGGCAATATACCATCCCGAAACCAAGATCAAAACAAATCGGAAATGATAGCAAAATTTGAAAAGCTACGTCCCCACAAATTCCTTAGTGGATCAAACCCCCATGAAGCTGAAGCTTGGTTAAGACAAATTAAGAAGTTGCTAGATATTTCCGACATCTGAAATGAACAAGATAGAGTGACCATGGCGGCATTTCAAATGGAAGGGGAAGCAGATCATTGGTGGGAAATGATCAAAAGTACTAGACAATTAGAGACATTAACTTGGAGACAGTTCGAAGATCTATTCATGGAAAAGTATTTTCCTAACTCGCTAAGACAAGAAATGATTCAAGAGTTCCTCCAACTGAAACAAAGAAAAATGTTAGTCGCTCAATATGCGAACCGTTTTGAAGCTCTCTCATGGTACACTTCAGCCATAGTAGCAAATGAAGAGGATAAGGTTAGGCGATTTGAATAGGGTTTGGACACAGACATTAGAGGAAGATTGATCGCAGTGCAACTGTCCACCTATGCTCAAATGGTGGATCGAGCTTCAATTGTGGAGCGAGAATTAGTAGATTCCAAACGCACTCAAAATCAACGATCAAGGAACAACAACCAACCACGCAGAGGGGGTCCAATCCACAACACTAGAAACCATCATGCACCAGCACCTTATGCTGGAGGGATGCAACAGCAGCAACAAAGGCAGAATCAAGGAAGCCAGCAAGGTGGAAACTTTGTAAATGAGTGGAAAGGAAGATGTTTCAAATGTGGTCAACAGGGGCATCGTCGAAGTGAGTGTCCTCAAGGTGAGGAGTATTTTATGGGTCAGTGAGGGGCACAACAATACAACAAATGCCAACCAGGGCAAGGTTCTAAGCCTACTCAAAATACTCAAACCAACAAGGGGCGGCCACAAGCCTCTAGGAATGTAGGCCGATCAAGAACACAACCACAAGGAGCTGGAAACGGAAAGAAACTAGGAGGGACTAACCAACAGGTACTAGGAAGAATGTATGCTCTTCAAGGAGAAGAGGATGTTGATAACCCATCAGTAATTCAATGTATGTTAATCCTTATGAATTCTTGGGTTAAAGTATTGTTTGATTCTGGAGCTTCGCATTCTTTTATATCCACTGCATGTGTGACAAGTTTGGGTTTGGAACCCGAAACGTTGGAGATAGCTATAAGTGTTGCTTTACCCTTAGGAGGTCAAACCCGAGTAAATCTAGTATGTAAATCTTGTGAGCTAGAAATTTCCGGTTCATATTTGATCTGTGATCTAAGAGTTATGGATATGTCTGATTTTGACGTCATCCTAGGAATGGACTGGTTGTCAGTTCATCGAGCCATTATTGATTGTTACTGTAAGATAGTGACAGCATCCCCCTTAATGGCACGGAAGTTCAATTTAAAGGAGGTAGACAAGATTCTCTAACTCCAACGTGTCGCAAGTCGCGATGGCATGATCAACTAACTGGGTGGTTGGCAAGCTTAATTTTGGAAGACAAAAATCGAAAGGATCCAGGATTACCCCATGTGGTGTGCGAGTATGCTGACGTTTTCCCGGATGAATTACTGGGATTACCCCCAAAATGAGATGTAGATTTCACGATTGAGCTTCAACCTGGGACTTCACCGATTTCAATAGCACCACATCATATGGCGCCAACTGAACTTCGAGAATTGAAGGAGCAGTTGCAAGAACTGTTGAATAAAAAGTTCATCAGACCAAATACGTCTCCTTAGGGAGCGCCAGCATTATTCGTGAAGAAGAGGGATGGAACCTTAAGATTATGCATCGATTATCGACAACTAAATCAAGTCACCATTAAAAATCACTATCCCTTACCCAGAATTGATGACTTGTTCGATCAATTAAGGGGTTCAAAATGTTTTTCCAAAATTGACCATAGGTCGGGATATCACCAACTTCGTGTCAGAGGAGAAGATATACCCAAAACTGTGTTTCGAACCCGTTATGGCCACTATGAGTTTGTGGTAATGCCATTTGGTTTGACGAATGCGCCTAGGGTATTCATGAATCTAATGAACAAAATTTTTACCCCCTATTTGGACCAATTTGTGGTAGTATTCATTGACAATATTTTAATATACTCACGATCGGAGAAAGACCACTAGCAACATCTAGGAACCGTTTTGCAAATTCTAAGAGAGAACCAATTATATGCTAAAGCTAGCAAATGTGAATTTTAGTTGAAGGAAGTAAAATTCTTAGGTCATGTTGTGTCTGAATCAAGAATATCAGTGGATGCTGCTAAAGTAGAAGCAGTAATGGGGTGGAAACAACCTAAGAATACGTTTGAGATTCGTAGTTTCTTGGGATTAGCGGGTTATTATAGGAGATTCATTCAAGATTTCTCCAAATTAGCCAAGCTGATGACACGCCTAACATAAAAATAAGTAAAGTTTGAATGGAATGAAACGTGTGAGCAGTCATTTCAAGAACTCAAGAAAAGACTGACAAGCGCTCCTATATTAATCATAACCGAACGTGACGTTGGGTACACTGTTTATTGTGATGCCTCTAAAGAAGGGTTAGGTAGTGTGTTAATGCAAAATGGGAAGGTAGTAGCTTACGAATCAAGACAATTGAAGAATCATGAGAAAAATTATCCTACTCACGATCTGGAGTTGGAGGCTATGGTCTATGCACTTAAGACTTGGCGACATTACCTTTATGGCGAAAAATTTGAGATATTTACCGACCACAAAAGCTTGAAGTATTTGTTCACATAGAGAGATTTGAGCATGAGGCAGAGACGCTGGATGGAGTACCTTGAAGATTACCAATTCACCTTGTCATATCATCCCGGGAAGGCTAATGTTGTAGCAAATGTACTAAGTCGAAAGACAAGAGAGATTGTAGCCAGTATATCAATTAAAGAATGGGAAATGGTAAGCACCGTGAGTAGGTTTAAGTTACAACCAGAGACTCAGAATGGGAAGGGTAGGTTGTTTACAATAGTTACAACACCCCCAACTTCTTACCAAAGTGTTGGAAGCCCAAAGATTTGATCAGGAGACCGACTTCATCAAAGCCCGATTAGTGTTCGGGGAATCTTCACCAGATTGGACGCTCTATCAAAATGGTAGTTTAAGGTATCTAGTTAGAATCTTTGTGCCAAACATCGAACAATTAAGAAAGGAAGTACTTAAAGAATTTCATCATTCGGTTTTTGCGGTTCATCTAGGAGGAAACAAGATGTACCAGGATCTTAAGCGACAGTATTGGTGGAGTGGAATGAAGAAGGACGTTGTTCAATTTGTATCTAAGTGCTTGACATGTCAACAAGTGAAGGCAGAACATCAAAAGCCGGCAGGGAAACTCCAACTTTTACCAATACCTAAGTGGAAATGGGAACACATAACAATGGATTTTGTAACGGGATTACCCCGGTCGCCGCAGGGCCATGATGCCATTTGGGTGGTGGTTGATCGGTTAACTAAGACGGCACATTTCCTACCAATAGGACCAGTAGGCACACTCGAATCTTTAAGTCGATTATTTATTTGAGAAATCATTAGATTGCACGGAGGACCAATCTCAATAGTGTCAGATCGTGATTCTCGTTTTACGTCACAATTCTAGCAAAGTCTGCAAAAAGCCTTGGGTACAGAGTTGTGTTTTAGTACAGCTTTTCACCCTCAAACTGACGGTCAATCAAAAAGAACAATTCAGACTTTAGAAGACATGCTTCGAGCCTGTGTGATGGACTTTAAGGGTAGTTGGGAGAAACACTTACCACTAGTAGAATTCTCGTACAATAACAGTTTTCAAGCAAGTATTGGTATGGCACCGTATGAAGCTTTGTACAGACGGCCTTGCCGGTCACCAATATGTTGGACAGAAGTCAGAGAAGCACCTCTTTTAGGGCCAGAGTTAGTTCAAGAAACTACCGAGAAGGTGAAACTAATTAGGCAAAGGCTTGAGACCGCTCAGAGTAGGCAGAAAAGCCATGCAGATCAAAGGAGAAGACCTTTAGCATTTAAAGTTGGAGATCATGTGTTTCTGAAAATACAGCCTCGCCGAGGAGTTGTTCGTTTCGAAAAGAAGGGAAAGTTGTCACCTCACTTCATTGGGCCTTTCGAAATCTTGGACAAAATAGGAGAAGTGGCATATCGTTTGGCTCTACCACCTTAAATGGCTGGAGTACATAATGTTTTTCACGTCTCTATGCTACGGAAATACAAACCACACTCTTCTCACATCATCAATTGGGAGGAAATTAATCTTGATGAAGACGTGACATTTGAAGAAAAGCCTATCAAAATTTTAGATCGTTGCGAGAAGAAATTGTGAGGTAAAACTATACCATTGGTTCGAGTTCTCTGGAGACATCGTGGGATGGAAGAGTCAACATGGGAGCGAGAAGATATGATACGTGCCAATTACCCTCAACTTTTCGAGTCTAAAGGTACAAATTAATTTCGAGGACAAAATTTTTTTTAGGAGGGTAGATTGTGAAAACTCATATTTAAATTATTCTTAAAAGAAAATAAATAAATAAATTAATTAATTAATTTTATTCAGAATCTATCTAAAATATATAATAGTGAAAAAAAGAAAATCAGATTCGATGGCAGAATATGCCACATGCTAACTTGCATGTAAACTTGGTAAATTTCACCACATCATGACTCTTGGGTGGAGTAGAATTGTGGCAGAGAATAACAAAGAGAGAGAGAGAGAGCTCTACCTATATATACCCAAGAAGGACTAAGCTTATTCTCACATACAAACAAAAAAAAGGCAGAAGTATATACGAGTGAGGAGAGATTCAGTAGAAGGAAAAGAAGAGGGAAAGGTTAAGGAAGCAAAAATTTTCTACCATTTTGTCACCCATTTGAATCCTACTATTAAGTAAAAAAACCTTCTCAACCCTCTCATTTCTTTTTATTAGTGAAGTTTTCAGATTATGTCCTTGTGATTAAAATGACTACTCATAAATAGAAATTTTATATATATGTGTAGGAATTTTGTGATGTGTATGTCAAGTGTTTCAAGATGTTGATAGTCTTAAAATCATCTTATTATTGTAAAGAAATAGGCTTGCATGTGTAGTTTATACATTTAAAGAGAAGATTGAAAATAATTAATTTGTTTTAAATTTGCCAGAATGTTGCCCGAATTTTTAGACAATTTTATACTCACAATTTCGAGATGATTTCTTCTACAAAGTTTTTGATAATGATGTCTAGTTCATCCAGGAATTTTGGCAACAATTTTTGAGCTTTCTACAAATTTATACAAAATTTTAACTAAATCTGAAACTGTGTTGAAAATAATCTGTTTTGAATCTGCCAGAATGTTGCCCGAATTTTTAGACAATTTTATACTCAAAATTTTGAGATGATTTCTTCTAAAAAGTAGTTGATAATGATGTCTAGTTTATCCAGGAATTTTGGCAGCAATTTTTGAGTTTTCTACGAATTTATACAAAGTTTTAACTAAATCTGAAACTGTAAGACAGATTTTATTATATATTTGAAAATTTATTTAAAATTCTATACTAAGCCAAATCTGGTAATTTCTAACTAAACGATGAAATTTGAGAAGTCTAGTTTCATGATAAATTTTTAGATGATGGGTTTGATCTATAAATTTAAGCATGAAATTAATA